AAAAGAGATTAAAGATCTCTACTCACCTTTTGAAACACGTATTCCCCGACATGATCGTCGGTGAAGACCTAGTTGCTCAGAAAGATAGTATTATAAAATTATCGAAAGATGAGCAAAAAGACTTCCTCGAGACCTGCTTCTTTAATCGTCGCCCGATTGACCTCGGCACCCTAACTAGCATAGTTTGTAGTTTAACTCAACCCTACGACCGTACCAAGAACTGTTGGCGCTGCGGTCAACGAGGACATCGCCGGGTAGATTGTACAAACCCCCAAAGACAATTCTGTTACATCTGTGGTGTCGGCCCCATTTGGGCCCGATACTGCTGCCTAAGGGCAAGAAAATAAAAATTTTCTTTCTCGGGTAGGCTAGACGCCCTAATACCCCCCCACCTCCATCTTCTGGGAGGAGTAGGGAGCGATCATCTAGTATAAAAAGAACATTCGGTCAGCTCTCAGTACACTTTTGTGCTAATCCTCGATCAGCATACATCCAAGTTCTAAATCATTTTTTTTTTGGTTTCGTCCTCTTTTCCCCATCGCTTTTGTTATCTTCTGGATATCTGCCACCAAGATGGGCGTCAGATGGATCTACAGGCTTACAAAGAACGATTTAATCGCTCAGTTACAACGTCATCAAATTGATTCCTCTGGAACTCTTATAGAGCTCCGTCAAAGATTCGTAGCTTTTGTAAAATCTCGTCCCGAACTCCTAGAATTAACCGAAGACCCAGTGGACTACAACGAAGAATTAGACATCTCGTTCGACAAGGAAGCCCTAGAAGATCCAAAACTCCTACCGGAGCGAGCATCCACCAGTAACCAGCCTGCTAATTCCCTTCCCGGGTCCGCTGATCAACCGATCAATCAACCAGTGTTCTTTAACCCACCGCAACCTAGAGTATTCAGTGATACTTCGGTCATAGAATCCATGAGGAAATGGAGTTGCCATTTCGACGGTAAAGATCCGTACGCATTCCTGGAACGAGTAGAAGAATTACAATCATCGTATGGGTTTTCCGACGAACAACTACTACGAGGATTCCCAGAGCTATTAAGAGGTGGTGCCCTACTTTGGTATAGAAATGCAATACGTACCTCGCGAACGTTAGAAGAACTATATACATCCCTAAGAACATTCTATCTGTTACCTAGTGAATTTAGAAACCTAGAATCCCAAATCTCTAATCGTAAACAGAAGGGATCCGAGTCCATTCGCGATTTCACCACGGATATCCAAACCATGATGCGTAGACATGGAGGTTACAACATCCACCGTGAACTAGATACGTTATTCTGGAATATGCAACCAGTCTACAGATTGCATATTCGCAGACAAGAATTCGACTCAGTTGGTGCCTTTATCCTACGAGTCGAAGAAATAGCAGAGGTGTTAAGAGACATTCAAAAGGTAGAAAAACCCCACAAAGCCCCCCCCAAGTTTCTGAAGTATCCAAACCATACGACCCAAAGACACACTGTTGGCGCTGTGGCAGACCCGGTCATCGTCGTCCTGTCTGCAGGAGCAGACCGAAGAAATTTTGCTCTTACTGCGGCAAGAAGGCATCTTTACTCGCGAATGTAAATGCAAGAAGCCGGGAAACGAGAAAAAGGTCCGACCATCGGAGTAAGTTCGACCTCACTCCCTAAAGACTCCCGTATTTTTATCAATTGCAAATGCGGAGACCTGGTGATCCCAGCCCTGGTGGACACTGGAGCAGCTTGCTCATTCATCGATACCCACACAGCAAATCGCCTGGTCAGCCAAGGAGGAGTCACAAATCTGGAGGACATCATCGTGGCCATGGCTAATGGTACCCAGTTCGAGGTCAAGACTAGTTTCAACATGAAAATGACAGCTGGAACTACCAAAGTGAATCACAAGTTCCTGGTCCTACCAAAACTATCTCAACCTATGCTGATTGGTATGGACCTGCTACAAAAATTCAACTTTTCACTTCTCATTGATAACCAAGATATACGGTTATTACATAAGTCATTCAAGGTTGAAATTTGTGAAATTGGGCCATCAGGATTAACATCGCTCAATAAGGATCAAGAAAGTGAATTAAATGCTTTATTAGAAAAGGAAAAACTTTTATTCCAAAATATAAAAGGTCACACTCCACTTCTAAAACATGTAATTCATCTCGAAGAACCAACACCGATCAAGCAACGTTTTCAACCCCGAAATCCAGTAACCCAGGAACTCATGAGACAAGAAGCCTTGGAAATGCTGAAACAAAAGGTTATTAGAAAATCTAGTAGTGCATGGAGTTCACCGGTAGTATTAATAAAGAGAAAAAACGGAAAATTAAGATTTTGCATCGATTTTCGTAAATTAAATAAAGTTACAAAAAAAGATGCTTATCCATTACCGCGTATCAACTGTATCCTTGATCAGCTTAAGGGTGCAAAATACCTTTCAACACTCGATTTGAAGAATGGATACTGGCAGGTGGAGTTAGAAGAAAAAAGCTCCCCCCTCACAGCCTTCACAGTGCCTGGTATGGGACTCTTTGAATTCATAGTCATGCCTTTCGGACTACATTCAGCACCAGCAACGTTTCAACGCCTTATCGACCGAGTTATACCTCCAGATTTGGCACCTAATGTATTCTCATACCTAGACGACATCGTTATTACATCCGAAACTTTTGAAAAACACATCGACTTACTTCAAACAGTTTTTTCCAGACTACGTGAAGCTAAATTAATACCAAATTGGGAAAAGTGTTTTTTCGCTCGTACACAACTCACCTACCTTGGACATCTAGTGGACGAAGACGGACTACACCCAGATCCTGATAAGGTGGACGCCATTTTGAAATTACCTCCACCTACTAACCTAAAAGAATTGAGAAAATTTTTAGGCATGGTATCTTGGTACCGTCGCTTCGTAAAAGATATATCGGTCGTAATATCGCCCTTAATTAAATTATTGAAAAAAGATACTCCGTGGATCTGGAAAGATGATCAACAACTGGCCTTTGAAAATCTAAAAAAGAAACTAACCGAAGCTCCAGTATTAGCTTGCCCTGACTGGTCTCAAACTTTTTATCTTCAAACGGATGCCAGTCTCGAAGGCCTAGGAGCAGTCTTGACACAGAAGATTGGATCAACAGAAGTCGTCATCGCCTACGCCAGCCGTACTTTAAACCCAGCGGAAAAAAACTATTCAGCTACGGAACTAGAATGCCTAGCTGTAAAATGGGGCATTTGGAAAATGCGACACTATCTAGAAGGATATCATTTCATAGTTGTCTCAGATCATCAAGCTCTAAAATGGCTGAATAGCATCATCACTCCTTCAGGAAGACTAGCCCGCTGGATAATGGAATTGGCCCAATGGGACTTCGAGGTTCAATATAAAAAAGGAATCGAGAATGAACTTCCCGATTACCTTTCTCGAGTGCCTTTACAAGTCTCTTCAATCAACGATTTACCCTCCTGCGCATGGTATCAACGCCAATGGAAAAACACTTCGGACAACCCTGAGAAAAATCCCGATTATCGTATCGAGGACGGAAAACTTTTTCATCATGTACTACACACCCTAGACTTCAAGGATACCCCTTATGAAGACCAATGGAAATTATGTGTGCCCAAGGGAAAAAGAATATCAATTCTACAGAAAGTACACGACGAAAAAACTTCAGGTCATCTGGGCGTGGCCAAAACACTAGCACGCCTGGGCGAATTCTTCTTCTGGCCCGGAATGTTACGAGATGGTGCAGCATACGTTAGAAATTGCCAAAACTGTCAACGTAATAAAAATTCTCAACAAGCAGCAGCGAATCACATGAATGCTACTCTAGTAGGAAATCCCTGGGAAATGCTATCTATTGACTTCATAGGCCCACTTCCTAGGACAACTTCCGGCAACACAATGCTGTGTGTTATCCAAGATCGCTTTACTAAATGGTTAGAATTAAAACCACTTAAAAAAGCAACTTCAATATTAGTTATTTCTACTTTAAAAGAAATTTTTTATCGTTTTGGTTGCCCACAGAAAATAGTGTCAGACAATGGTAGACAGTTTATAAGTAAAGAATTCAAATCCTTCCTCGAAGATTTTGGTATCACTCATCGTCTTACACCCCCTTACTCACCTCAATGTAATCCAGTGGAACGAGTCAACAAGGTAGTTAAGACCATGATTAGGCAATACATCGACAGAAAGAAACCGGACTGGGACCGACATCTACCGGAACTTCAATTCGCCTACAACACCGCGAAGCATACATCGACCGGTTTCACTCCTGCCTTCCTTACCTCTGGCCGAGAATTTTTCCCGCCTGGTTTTCAAGACTCGCGTTTAAACTCACAAGCCAATAATGCATCTTCTAAGCGAATTGAAAAATTACAAGATGCACTTGTACTAGTTCGGTCAAATCTAGCTAAGAATTTTAATATACAACAGAAACAATATAATTTACGAAAACGCGATTGGAATCCTATTATAGGGGAAAAAGTTCTTAAAAGAAATTTCCATTTATCAAATAAAATGGAAAAGAAAAACGCAAAACTATTAGAAAAATTCAGTGGTCCATTTATTATTAAAAAGAAGATTTCTCCGGTAATATACGATTTAGTTAACGATAAAGGTAAAATATTCCGCCACGTGCATTTAAAAGACTTGAAAAATTTCATAGACGATATTTCAACCAATAACATTGTCTCTCCTCAATAGTGGTGTCAAAGACCTCCAGTATAAATAAAGCCAAAATTCAAGGAATCACCCTTAGTATACTAAAGTCATTTTACGATGGAAGCAGAAAAACAAATAGCCCAACGCGAACGCGCCAAAATAAGAGAAGACGCGCTAGATATGTCCGCGTTGAATTTGGAAATTCCGGAGTTCGACTTCAATTATCAGACATTTTTCGGTTTAAATAATTTTGTACCGTGCGGAAAAAGTGAGTGCAGTTTTGTGGCCCCTCTGCAACCAATTGCCGGTAGAGTGCACGACAAAATGAAAGTGTTCGCGCCTGCCCCTAAACCGCCGAGATTGCAACTTCCCGCCAAAAAAGTTGCCACGCCGCCACCATTAATTAAAAAGGGTTTCGAATCCATACTAATAGACATTTGTGAAAAAGAAGAAGCAAGGATTAAGGAAGAGAAAGACAAAAAGTTAAAAATTAAAATTAATAAATCTAATTTACCAGTGGTCAAGCTCACCCGAGTTCCGCCACCTAAAAAGTTACCTACTAAAAAAATTATTAGTGCTACGCCGTCTTCGAAAACCCCAGTCACACATTTAGCAGGGATGTCCCTAGTTGCTAAAAATAAAATAGCACAACAAATGAAAAAGAAACAGTCCTTACCAAAAAAAACTATTATTAAAAGTGCTAAACCGGTTATAGTTGAAACCAAAATCCTAACCACGCCAATTAAAATTTTGGATTGCCCTAAAGTGGAAATCACCACTGATTCGAACAATAATAATATCATTCCCACTGTGAAACCTAAGAACAGTAAAAAAAACCCCCTCCAAGTAAGCAAAGCGCTGGCCCATTTACCCTTCACCGTAGCCAAACTTCCTGGTGGGCCGTGGGTTAAAATCCCCCTCGGCATTCCCCGCTACAGAATTCCAGTAAAGGGCGGCAAATGGAATCTCCGCCTAGACCAAACCAACGGCCACATTCGTTTAGCAAGGAAAACATTGTAAGTGGTATTTAGTTAGGAAATATTTTTTTTTCTTTTGTAATATATATATTTTCGGAAAATTTTTTTTTTTTTATTGTTATTAAGGGAAAAATACTTTCATCCTTTATTCTCTCCCTAGACGCTCATTAGAATTCGCTTGATAAGTAGGGGGGATGTAATGAAAGTATTCTTCTTTTTAAATGATTATTCCCCGCGAGGAATATATTTCTCATTCTAATATATTTCTTATACATATATATATACTAGACAGCTCTCTCGCTGCGAGCCAAGTAGTGAGTGGCGACGGCGCACACTTGCCGCGCCGCCGGCTCTCTCCTTTCCCCGCGAGTCCACATACTCTCTCGCGACCATTCTATATACTTGATCGCACTTTCCCAATTCTTCAGTTCGCCTTCGACCGGCCTCGAGGTGCTCCTCGGGCCAGACGACGGCGGCTCAACTCCTCGTTCTCTCTCGATCTATTTTCCACCCTTACCATCCTATCTTTTCACCAGGTGAGCTAGAGGTCTGTAGGCGCTCCTGCGACCCCCGGCTCCCCAGGATTCCTAGAAGGAGTTGTATAGGTCCTGTAGGCGCTCCTGCGGACCTATAACACCCTTCAACCACTTTCTCCACATCCTCTCCACGAATACTCCAGGTCTCTCTATAGGCGCTCCTGTGAGAGACCAGGGTATTCCCTTTTCCCACCTGGGGAACCAGGTTACACTACACACACACATACATACATCTTATATTTAGGACCGTCCATGCCGAGTAGAGGCGCTCCTCTCTCGACATAGACGACGCCCCAGGTCGACTCCCATCTCGAGGCGCTCCTCGGATGAGGGTAACACCTGGTGAATTACAAACTCACATACCTCATTGCACTAGCTTCGCGTCGGGCACGAATGTGGGAACCGTATCTCACATCTAGAATCTTCCCGATTACGTAAATCGACCTCGCGTGCACGACCCTAGTTACCGTCCGTACCGTCGTCTAGGGGGTAAACTAGTAACTCCCCGCGCAATGAAATATCGGTCATCCTGACCTTTGTAATCGGTAATATAGATGTATGATCCGAAATATCTTTTCTTTTCTTTTACAGAATTAAAGCGAGCGAGCCGAAGATGCTTACAAGCGACACCTAGCGGTGCTAGCCAATTCTTTCTATTTATCGTTATTTTATTTTTGCATTGTATAGAATCCTTTTTTTTATTTTATTTTATTATTGTTATACTTTATTCTTTTATTATTTTGTTAAAATATATCTCTTTCGAAGGTTTAAAACTACGTCTCATCACTGACTACACCTTCCTTTCCGGAATCACAAATGGTTCCCACAATGATTCAAAATTAACATAGATGGCGCTTCACGCCACCTACAAAGTAAAGTAACTAGTCAAAATAGGTACCCGGACTCCATCCGGCGAGCAAATCCATTGGCTCAAAATACGTATCATTACAACTTCTTAACAATGACAGAACCTTGATCCATGGCGACAGACTAAAGTTATACAACTATTAAAACATAATTTACTCGTATTACCGAATTTTATATTAATGTGACTAATATAAAATTTCATTCCGTTATAGGCAAAAAAAAACAAAATGCAGAAACTACTGTTTACGACTACTTTTTTCTTCACCATTGTATATTCCAACATCATATTTAAACCTATTACGAATACACCAATATTCGCAGAGAACTTGGGCACTACAAGCCTTTATCATCGAACGTGGAAGTTAATTATAGGAGTGGATACTAGTAGTATCGAGAGTAGATTAATCCAAATTCAGGATGCCTATACAAAGGCAGTCGCATTATGCCACGAATGTGCAGAAGAATTTGAAATTAATGTACTTAACAATCGCATACTAAGAATGGCAGATCTTTAGGTTACACTTCGTCAAATATTAGGATTTTCTCGTACAAAGAAAGGAATTTTAAATATCATAGGATCCATATCTAAGACACTTTTCGGTACTCTCGATGAGAATGATATGGAGATTATTAATCAAAAATTCGACAAAGTATATTCAGATCAAAAAATAATTACAGAGACAATAGGGAATCAAACTAGGATAATTAAAACACTATTAAACACAGCTTCTCACGACCTACAGCTTCTTAACCAAGAATCAGGATCCTTGATTAATCAACTTAATAAACTAGTAAATTCGTCAAACACTAACGCAAAAAACACTATAATCGCCAATATGCTTACTGTCTGTACAATAGCAATCAGTGAATACAGCGAAGACATTAATTTAATAATAAATGCTATAAACGATGGGAAACATGGTATTGTACATCCTCAAATTCTTACACCAAATATGTTAATTCGAGAATTACAACTCATCGAAGAAGAAACTAACACCAAATATCCAATTAAATTGATACCGCAAAATTATCAACATATCATTGACATATCCGACATAACTGTAAGCATTACACACAAACAATTAATATACATTCTTAAAGTACCAGAATTAGAAGAACCAGTCCTCCAAACTTTACACTTAATTCCAATACCTATTCGTCATGGAACAGGATTCATTGCACCAATCCCATCACACGAAATCCTACTCATTAATCCAGAAAAAACTTTTTATGTCCCTTCTGACACACAGACAATGCGAAATTGTAAAATATTAGAAGACACTTTTATTTGTAAAAGGGTACAACCAACTTTTCTTATCAGTGAAGTAGAAAACTGTGAAACTAGTATTGTTAAACATAGATACAAATCCATTTCCGATAAATACTGTGAATTTTCTGTTTTTAAAATAGCAGAACTAGCATTTATACCTCTTCAAGATCCAAACCAATTTATTGTAATACCAGAAAATGAAATAGAATTGAACGTTGTTTGTAACAACAAAAATGAAATTACAACCATTAAGGAACCTAGTCTAATTCACAGTAATTCCGATTGTATATTACACACTCCAAAATCAATATTAAAATTACGTAAATCAATCGAACATAACTCCGATATCAAGTTCAAAAAAAATATCTCTTTTGCAATTAGTCAAAGCGACTTAAATTTATTAAGCTCTCAACTACCCGTAATACAAGAATCATTACATAGAGAAAAATTTAATTCTCTAAAACGTAGTATAGACACTATGGAAGCTTCGATTCAAAGTATAAAAAATATTCGTAGAACCAAAACATGGGTGGAAAAAAGCACAGATATATTACAATATTTAGGATATACATCATTAGTCATTTTAACAATTTACTCACTTTATAAATCGGGAGTTTGTAAACTATTTGCTAAATTACTTCCTACGAACCTATGTATTAATTTATTCTGCGTCAAAACAAATGTAAACAATACACCAAATGTACAGTATACAAGTGCCCCTACGGCACCAACACCACTAGATGAACATCTAAAAATCAAACCTCAATCTATAAGGTTTCGACCTTAGGGACTAAGGTCAATCTAAGTTGGGGGGTGTAACGAAATCCACGTCAATTCTACCTTTTCTTCCCCCACTCACCATCCTCTGAACCATCCCTCCCACGCACCCTAAATACATCCTAAGGGACCTTACTTCTGTCAAGGCCCAGAACCACTAGTGTTAATTTTAGACTTTGTAAAGAGACACGTATCTAAATCTACGGACTTAGAACGTGGCATTATTACGCTCATTTTAATAAATAAAGAATAATACTTTGTTTACGAATAATTTATTATAATTTACTTATTTCTTGTAATAAATAAATAAATAATAAATTATCTACGGATAATTTATCATCTGATAATATTTATTAATTAAATTCAAGATTATAAAAACCCGTCACATTGGGCAATTATTAATTTTTGATAAAAGATATTTTGTACTTTGTTTATAATTCATTGAAGGTTTAATTTAGATTCCTTTTCGGTGCAACAAAACGTACCTCAACCAGTTGCTTTAAATATTGATGACATTCAAAGGGAATTAGCTGTGATAAACGATAATGCCGTTTATACAAATTTAACAGCAAGTCTGAATCAAGAATCAGCTGAGCCTGTTTTGAAAGAAACAGACACACACCGCGGGCAACATAATCAGGGAAATAATAATAAAGATGATTGGGAAACGAATCCTCACTACGTAGTAAGTTTAATACTTTTTCAAAAATGATTAATTGTTTGTTAAATTATTTATTATAAAATAAAATAATTAATTTTTAGCGATTAAAAAAATTAATCGGATGTGCCGCAACGGTGAACTTAATTGCTCACGCCTACAACCAACAGGGGGGATTTTTGATAGAAAAGAGTCGAAAGATATTGATACATAAGTTTATTGATTTAAAAAAAAGAACTTGTTAAAGAATTTAAAGAAGCGCCGCTGGATGACTGGAAGTAAGCCTTATTGTTATAATTAAACTACTAAAAAAAATTCAGCTACTTACTTCACCCCATTTAAAATCGAAAACGGAGTCCGAATACCGTCTACAGGAAAAGTGAAGAATCACTTCGATTATGTAAAAGGTGAATTAAGAAAACAAGGAGTTATAAAACCATACACTAAGAAAACGGCTGAAAATCCTTCAGAAAGTAGACTTTGTCTTTTTGAAGGTAATCATTTTTTGTTTTCCATAAAAGAAAGTATTGCTTTCTCCTCAAGTAATTTTTATAAGAAATTTTCATATTTTTTTCAGAAACAATTGAAAATAAAATTAAATATCTGGAAGTTCACTCGGACGATGTTGAAAAAATTAAACAATATTGGTCTGAAACATACGAGGCTCGTATGCGAATTTTAGAATTTCAGCGACTAAGTGTTCATCAATATTGTCAGAAATTCAAAGGCTTGAAAGAGCAATTGGGTTTCTATTTAGTAAGTATAAATATAGTATAGAGTACTGTAAATTTTTATAGTATTTTATTTTTATAAATATATGTACTTTTTGACATAATTTTTTAAAACTGATGTCTAAATTCAATCACATAAAATAATTTGTACATCCGCTTGTGCCAATCACATAAATGAAAATTACATTTTTTTACAGATTGAATTAGATTTTCAATGTCTATACCCTGACAAAGAGAACAACCTTCTGTTCAACTGGGTTCTGATTAAAGATCATTTAATAAAAATTTTAAAAACAATCAAACTTTAGTCAGAAGATAAAACATTATTCGATTTGATATCGAAATTATCGCCAGGTAAAATGACTATTCTATTAAATGTTACAAAAAACTTGTTAATTTAAATTTTACTCTACTTTAATCATGATTCTTTTAGAGCATCAAGATGCTGTATTGTTCCATCTTCTCATTTATCTGGTTCCGACTGCAGAAGTAAATAAATCTCAAAAACGAAAAAGGGTTACTGCTGCTAAAAATCAGGATTCTGAAAATGTGGTTCCGGAAACTAATGAACAGAAAAAGACTTTAAAAGAAAAGCGAGAATCTTTTATACTGGTCATACCGGTAAATATATTGTATTTATTCACATCAAGGCTGATAAAAATCATAATTTATTATTAAATTTATTTGTTACTACTACAGGAATTAGAGACTGTCACCTTTTTGAAATTGTGTTGCATTCCAAATTTTAATAAATTATTACTTCAATTATTTCAAACTTTAATGAATTATAAATTCAATTGTTACAGATTTCAAACAAATAAAAAATCAATTATTCTAAATTTTAATCAATTACAAATTCCAAACAAATAAAAATTCAATTTTTTAAAAATTTAATTAATTATAAATTCATTCATTTCACATTTCAATTCATTAAAAATAATTGTTAATTGTTTGAAACTTGGAATAATTTTTGAAAATTTATTTATTTGTAAGATTTGTTTTAAAAAATTGTTTTTAGTTTTAATACTGACAATTTTTCTATGTAATAAATAATTTTAATAATTTTTCTCATTATTTTTTTAAATAATTGATCTTAGAAATTTTTAAATTTTCATTTTATTTATCTGATAATTTTTGTTGGGATGAAAGTGACAAATCTTTTTTACAGATTTCTAACGAAGAAGATGCAACACTGGATAGATTAAAAGTGACTGTTATCGAAGAAGCTAACGTTGCAGCCACTATTTGTGATTGTCGGATCGTTAATCAATATAAGAAAAGTTTATGTTGTTATTGATGACACATGGTTCGAATGTGCTTCCGTTTTACAAGCGGTTACTTTTACGTTCAAGGCTTTTTTGCTTATCCGGTTGAAACATATAATGTTTGGAACTTTATTCAACGAGCTTTTTTTGAGATCAAATTACAGGGCGAAAAAGTCAGTATAAAAACAAAAGCTCTCGAAAAACAGATAGAAAATCTTCTTAAAGCATATAGAACGACGTGATTGCTGTCTTTTTAAAAGAATTGCTTTAATGGCGAATTTTAATTCTTGAAAATTTTTTTTACACAATGTTTAAGCATTTTGGGCAAGTGTGATTGTTCTTTTGTCAACAACGAGACTAATATTACTTGTATAGTTAGTGCATAGTTTAAACGTTATAATTTATATATTTTTAAAAGAATTGTTCTTTTTATTTTTTTGTTTACAATGTTTAAGTGTTTTGGATGTGAATGTTCATTTTCCAACAACGAGACTCTGATATTACATGTAGAGTTAGCGCATATGTATTGGGATACGTTTCAATGTACGGAATCAGAATGTACAAAAAAGTATGTAAATTTTTATTCCTATAAAAAGCATCGCAATTTAAAACATGGAGTTCAATTACATCCTCATGAAACCAGTGAAACAAATTTTTTTAATGCGGATTCTAATTTTCCGTTTGCTGTTGAAGACGTAACAACAGACGAAGAGTTATATACTGACAGTTCTGGCAGTTCGAGCGATGAATCTGAATATTTTGACGAGGAACAAATTGAAGATTCCATTTCCTTTGACGTCTCAGGAAAATATGGAACCAACTTTAAGACCAAAACAACGTTGTTTGCCGCTAAATTATATAAATTAAGTAGTGTGCCCAGAAAATATGTCAATGAAATTATAAATGATGTCTCAGATTTATTTGAATGTTACAAAAATTCCTTTAAAAATGAATTTAACAACAAGGCAGCAAGCTTTTCTAAAAATTCTTTTACTCTATCTGAAATCAATGAGGTTTTTGCGGAATTGTCAAATCCTTTTCATAACATTCAAACAGAAGCTAAGCGATGCAAGTTATTTGAGACAAATGGGACTTTTATACCTCCTCAAAATTATAAACTTGGTGAAGCCAAAGTTATTGTTGAAAAAAATGGAGAAAAAATATCCTGTATTAAAGAGATTTGCGCACAATTCATTCCGATCAGAAAAGTATTGAAATTGTTTTTTGAATTGCCGGATGTTCTGAAAAATACTTTGCAGTACATGAATAATGTTCAAGAAAATAAAATCGTGATTCAAAACATTATTCAAGGATCTTTGTATCAGGAGAAAGTTAAAGCCTTTAAAGATAAGACTCTTTTACCTGTAATTCTAGCATTCGACGACTATGAAACTAACAACCCTTTGGGCAGTCACAAAGGTATCTCTAAATGCGGTGCAACATACTTAAGTTGTCCTGCACTTCCTCCCGATTTGCGATCAAAACTAGAAAATATCTTTTTGTTTTTGTTGTTCAATACGAAACATCGTGCGCAATACATAAATAAAATTATTTTCATGAAAGCTATGGAAGAACTAGAATTTATTCTACATGAGGGCATACCGATCACAGTTGACAATGTTACAAAACAAGTCCACTTTCTCTTGATTTTAATTTACGAAGATAATCTTGGAATAAAATCAATTTTCGGATATGCTGAAAGTTTCCAAGCTACCTACTTTTGTTGGCATTGTTTAACTCGACGTAACGATATACAGTTTGTGTTTAATGAACGAGATTGTAAGCTTAGAAATCGCGAAAATTATGATGAACTTTTGGCAAAAAATGACGTTTCACTTTCAGGGATTAAGGAAGTCTGTGTTTTTGATGAAATGTCAAACTTTGATCATAGAGAAAGTGTATATGTAGATCCTTTACATGATGTTCCAGATGGTATATTGAGATACGATGTAGCAGAGTCATTAAACTATTTCATATATAAAAAAAAGTATTTTACAATTGCCAATTTAAATCTTCGACTTGCTGGTTTTAATTATGGTGATAATTAAAATTCAAATAAGCCTATGCCTCTTTCGGAGCAACAAATTAAAAAAGGATGTCTCATTATGTCAGCTGCTGAGATGATGAATTTGTTTCGAAACCTATTTCTCCTGATAGGACCGTTATCGTTCCTGAAGAAGATCCTCAGTGGCAATTACTTATTAAATTAAAAGAAATAGTAGAGATTATTTTCAGCAAAGTTATCGGTTCTGAAACATACAAGTTTCTTGATACAGAAATAACAGAATATTTGACTGAACTTTCGAGATTGCGCCCTGGTTCTTTAAAACCTAAGCACCATTTTTTAATTCACTACCCGCGAGTGATGAAAGCAGTTGGTCCTCTTGCAGCTTTGAGCACAATTCGTTTTGAGGGAAAACACAGAGAGGGGAAAGTTGCCTCTCATGTCTCCATTTGTAGAAGAAATGTTTGTCGCACTATAGCTGTGAGAAGTCAGCTTATGCAAAATTTCCGATTTTTGAAGAAAAATGATGATCATGCGCCGTTTAGAAGCGGCCCGAGTCGAGTCAAATCGTTCTTTGACTTGCCTGATTCTGTACACTTTTTGCATTTGCTTACACCCCTTACGAAAAACAAGTTTAGCGTAACGAAATGGATACAATGCAATGGTCATAAATTAAAACCTGGTCACGTTGTTGTTCACTTTTTAGAAAATGGACCGATTTTTTACTTGGTTGATGCAATGTTAATCGTAGACGAGACATTTAAAATAATAGCTAAACAGCTCCACGATTGTTATTTCATTGAACATTTACAAGCATTTAAAGTTTTCGATGAAAGCTGTTTCTCTTATTGCCTTCTGCAAAAGGACGACATTGATTTTAATACAATTATCACTATGAGAAATAAAATAAGCGACGGTTTTAATTACATTGTTAAAACTTGGATGTAATTTAGAATTTTGTGAAGGTAAATTGTGTTAAAATAATTTTTAATGCACTTGCAAAATAAACGACGTTGTAAAATAAATTTTATAAAAATTTTGACATTTATAGTTGAAAACAAAAATAAATTTTTCATAATTTATTTTATATAATTTTTTTTTGAATTATTGAAATTTTGTTAGCTTTGCTACATTTACCTTTTACCCATTCGTTGAGCGCAGTAGAAATATTAATTTATTATTATATTTTCATTAGTAGTTACATACTTATTGATTTAAAAAATAGAGCAACTTTTTAAATTTAATATTAAAACTTCCAAATAACTCTGCAAATTTATTACTCGATTGCCGGTTTTTGTTTCAATATTATTTATTTTATAAATAAATAAATTATCAAATTTAAATTAAATTGATATTTGATTTTAATAAGTTCAGATAAAAACAATTCATAATAATAAAATAATAATAAATAAGAAAAAATAATAAAAATCATGGATGGAAAATTGTGTTCATGTCATGAACACATTTCTTCCTCTTGGACATGTGATAAAAAATATTAAATTTGTTAATTTAATAAAAATGCAAAAAAGTCAAGTTTCTCAAAATTTTGATATTTAAAAATGATATTGACGAAAATTTCTTAAAAATGTGAATTTTGGATTCCTCAGGTCGAAAAACATAGAAGTATTTAAAAAATCGAAAACCAAAAATTTTACGAAGACAATTTTCCTACTATGAGGAAGGAATAAATAATAATAAATTAAATATTACATAATCAATTTGAATAAATAAATACATGATAAATAATAAATTTAGTAAATAATAATAAATGATGATAATTTATTAAATAATAATAAATAATAATTTATTAAATAGTAATAAATAATAATTTATTAAATAATAATAAATAATAGTAATAATATTTTAATAAATTTTAATAAATAAATAAATAATATAAATGAAATTGACGTACTACATTTTTACTTATGCAAAAAATATACAACATGCACTAAATACCAATATAATGTGTGTTTTCAATTTTCCATCACATTAATAATAATTTTAAAGCTTATGAATCTAAATAAATGATAAATTATATTCTTAATACAGAATGACACGACAGAGATACTATCTCTCTAGAATTTTTGTAAGGTTACTTTATAAGTGTATTAAGTCGTGTGCGTTAAAGTACTTCGTAAAGTGTCGGTTAGGTAGTTAGTAAATAGAATAGGCAGGTTTCGAATCCCCAAAAGCGTAAATAATTTTAAGTGTGTTTCAGGTGTGTAATAATGTGTTTAATTAATTAACAGTGATTTCAGAATTTATAAATCATTAGTGACAGTGAAAGTGATAAATTAATTGGAATAAGAAAAATGATAAATATTTTTTTTTCAGCGAGTCGTTTAACTGCGCATGCGCTTCATGAAGGCGACAGACACGTTTTCCAAAACTCCAGTTTTAAAATATCTAAGCAATTTCTGCAGAACAGCTGTGTATCTATGCATCCATTCAATTGCGCGTGCGCTTCAGTCCAGACATTTTCCAAAACTCCTGAAGCAAAACATTCAACCGATTACCGTAAAACTTAAAATGACACCATTCGTGAATTCCACACAACTTTTTCTATAGTTCTTGTGGAACCCCTTTTTTCTTATATTATAAATGAGTCTGTTTTAACTTATACAAATCTCCTCTCCGTATCCGCTATTCTGAAATTAGTTTTGCAGAATTTACTGAAATAATTTTTTCCGTGTATAAGAAATATTGCCATGCAATATTACACATAAAGACTCTGCAATATTCAAGAAATATTTCAAAGAAAGTTAGAAACTTTTTGAAATATGAAATCAATTATTATTTTCTAACCTGATCCACACGCATAGAAACTGAGATCGACCAGTGCGCATCATTTATGTTGGAAACTTTCTAGAATATTTTAATGAAATATTTCAGCAAAATTACAAGGCAATATTTCCTGTATGTATGTACGTACGTATATAGACATAAAATGTTGTTGACAAAATAACTTTTATAAATCGAAACAAATTGATTTGCAATTTTGCACACACAAAAGTCACAAAGTCGCAAACAAATACACTTGCATATACCTGTACAGGTTCATGTACTTTGTTCCAATTCTTTTTACAGGTTCGTTTTGTGCTCTTGTACAAGATCACGCGAATGTGCAAGTACTTGAACTTGAACAAGAAAATGTACAGGATATTGTACAAGATTTTTCAACTGGGAATAGTATATATAACCCTTACTTTTATGTATAACAAGTTTTAAGTAAATAAAATAAATTGTTTAATTAAAAAAACTATTTGAAAAAAATAATGGAGATGAGATACTAACCCCTTAAATGTATTCGTTTGCTCAAATGTTTCATATATTTAAATAATAAAAAATAATCCAAATACTCAAAAACATTTCTATTTCCGCATCATACATTCGAGCGTGAAACTGCGAGTGCCATGATGAGAATGTTCTCCTTAAAGTCGAAGAACTTTAAGAAAATTAATCCTATATAATAATAATAAAATTATTGTATATAATTTTTATATTAAAATATTATAATCCTTAATAAGAAATCTCTAAAGAGTAACGTAACGCCTATCCCATTGGTCGATTGTCGCCGTGGCGTCTATTCCATTGGTCGAATTCTTATTTGTCATCTTCGTCTCGCAAGAGCGTAAAACAGACACGATCTGACCGCGTACAGATTTACCGACACACAGAAATAAAAGTGGTGTGTGCGTCAGTTATCTTTGTCAAGCAACGACATTCAACTGACAGAACTTATATTTGATCGAATTTTCATATGCTCGATTTTTTGTTAAATAGAATAGCCATTTAGACGAATTCTTATTAGACAGAATTTTAATATAAAGAATTTACTTTTATCCGAAGTTTCATTTTTTAGAATTATTATTTCACAGAATTTCTATTTCATCGTTTTTTCACATTATAAAATTATTACTTAACCAAATATTCATTTAACAGAATTTCCATTTCATCGATTTTTTATGTGTCAGAATTTTCATCTTTTTGAATGTTCATTAAACAGAATATTCATTTAAACGAATTTTTATTAGGTAGAATTTTAATAGGAAGAATTTACTTTTAGCGGATGTTTTATTTCTTAGAATTTAGTCGAAATTTTATTTAAAGAATTTCTATTTGATCGAATTAGCATTTGTCCGAATTTTTATTAACTCGAATTTCTATTAAACAGAATATTTATTTAGACGAATGTTTGTAAGACAGAATTTCCATTTCACCGAATTTTTATTTGTTCGAATTCTTATATTTGAACGTATTGTCATTTGAAAAAATTCTTAAAACGTCGAATTTGCATTTGACCGAATTTGCAAATGTCCGAATAAGCATCCGGCAAAAACGATTCAACCATTTGCAAATTCGACGTTTTAAGAATTTATTCAAATGACAATACGTTCAAATAAGAATTCGAACAAATAAAAATTCGGTGAAATGGAAATTCTGTCTTACAAACATTCGTCTAAATAAATATTCTGTTTAATAGAAATTCGAGTTAATAAAAATTCGGACAAATGCAAATTCGATCAAATAGAAATTCTTTAAATAAAATTTCGACTAAATAAAAGTTCTGCAATGCTAAAAATTGATTAAATTAAAATTCTGCTAAATTATAATTCTAAGAAATAAAACTTCCGCTAAAAGTAAATTCTTTCTATTAAAATTGTACCTAATAAAAATTCATTTAAATGAATATTCTGTTTAATGAACATTCTAAAAAATGAAAATTCTGACACATAAAAATTCGATCAAATGGAAATTCTGTTAAATGAATATTTGGTTAAGTAACAATTCTGTAATGTGAAAAAACGATGAAATAGAAATTCTGTGAAATAATAATTATAAAAAATGAAACTCAGGATAAAAGTAAATTCTTTATATTAAAATTCTGTCTAATAAGAATTTGTCTAAATAGCTATTCTGTTTAACAAAAAATCGAGTATTATGAAAATTGTGAGAAATAAAAATGCGATCAAATAGAAGTTCTGTCAATTGAATGTTCGGTTATATAAAAATTCTGTCATATAGAAAATCGGATGAACAGAAATTCTGTAAAATAATAATTCGGTCAAGTAAAAATTCGGTTAAAAGAAAATTCTATCTAATGTAATTCTAACAAATGGGAATTCTAACAAATTAATTTTAGAACTTATTCATGCGCCCCAGTTAAACAAATTAAATTTAACAAATTTTTTTTAATAGGAATGCTATTATTATGGCGGCCTAAAAAGTGATAAATAAAAGATAGAAGTATAACTGTTGAAAGTTGCAATAAAAGAATAAATGTTTTCAAAATAATTAAAATTATTGCGAGTAGGTATTATTTATGCCAGATTGAATCAAAATGAATCATGAAAGTTTTGAATATATTTTCGAATTGATTGAAGGTTCAAGAAGAAGTAATTCGTAAAAGCATTCAAAATTGGAAAATTTTTTTTCATTAAATATGGTTTAAAGAATGTTTTCAATGATTTAAAATATTTTAGACAACTTTGAATGTTTTTACGAATTATTTCTTCTTGGACCTTTAATCAATTCGACAAACTATTTAAAACTGTCATGTTTCATTTTGATGTAATCTGCCATAATGAATATTTGCAATAAATTGAAATATTTTATCGGACATTTATTCTTTTATTAAAATTTTTATAGTTCTACTTTTCTACGCCATAATAAAAGCATTCTAATTAAAAAAAATTGTTTGTGATTTTAATTTTTTATTTATTACTTTTTGGTTCATAAAGAAAAGTTGCTTAGGTTTGATGGTTTTCAAAATGTGTATATTTAGGTAAATATTTTTTTAGCAAATATTCTACTTCATAAACAAAGATCTTAAGAGATTCCATGAAATATTTAAAAAATTCTATAAAGTTTCTAAAAGGTGAAATATAATTTCTAAATATTTCTTTAGGTTTCTAAAAAGTTTCATCAAGTTTCTAAAAGGATCTATGAAGATTTTAGAAGATTTCTTGAAATTTTTAGATGCTTTCCTGAATTTTCTAGATATTTTCATGAAGTTTTAAAAATTTTGATGAAGATTTCCTAGATTTTTCCATTATGTTTCCAAAAAGTTCTACGAAGTTTATATATAGAAAGTTCCATAAAGATTCTAAAAGGTTATTCATTCAGTTTCTTCAAAAGT